TTATTGGTTTTTTACTTAAATGTTTTGTTTTTCATATTAAAGGAAATTATCTCATGCTATCTATAGTTTACAGCAATTTGGAATACTTTTGTGAACAAAGGTGGAAATATTTGCTTTTCCTTTCTTCTTGATTCCTCCAATTTGGAAACTGAGTATTCATTTGTTTTTGTTTTTGAGACAGAGTCTTGCTCTGTTGTCCTGGCTGGAGGGCAATGGCACGATGTTGGCTCAATGCAACTTCTGCCTCCAGGGTTCAAGCAATTCTCCTGCCTCAGCCTCCCAAGTAGCTGGGACTACAGGCATGCACCACCACGCCCAGCTAATTTTTGTATTTTTTAGTAGATACGGTGGCTGGGCGGGGAGGTTTCACCATGTTGGCCAGGCTGGTTTCAAACTCCTGACCTCAGGTGATCCACCCATCTTGGCCTCCCAAAGGGCTGGGATTACAGGCATGAGCCACTGTGCCCAGCCTATTTGTGAGTATTCTTAAGGCAATATGATTTGCTTAAGTTAAATAAAAATCTGCTCTCATTATAACAGGATACAACTGGAAACACTGGTTGTATTACCAAGACTTTGACTGAAATGTCGTATTTGATAATCTGTAGAATGCCTGGCTTCAATGTTCTCAGCATTACACTGAATTAAAAACTGTCATCTCCTGGCAGGCCCAGGAACCTTAAAACTATAGGTAAAATCTAAGTCTACCTTGATTTAGTTTCCTAGCCTCAAGGAGGTTTTTAAATCTGAGATTACTGTGACCATACTACTATTCTTGCAGACAAAATCTGATAAATTTTACAAATCTGTTTTATTCTGAGTATCTTCGGTAAAAATCTGGATAACTTTATGTTTCTGAAGGAAGCTATATGTACCTGTTATTAGATCGCAGCTCTGTACTCTGTTTTGAAACTCCTGTTATCCACCTGCAGACCGGATTTGCTCCTGAACTCTCCTAATTTCCTTCAACATTTGGCTATAACTCTCTAAGAAAAAAAAAAACAAACAAACAATTCCCATGCTCTGAGGCCTATAAGCTAAGATGTGATGAATTTTTAAAGGAGCAAGTCTCATGGTGATGTATGGGTCACACAAAAGTTCACCACACCAACCAATGCCACAGCTAGAGACATTCAAACTGCAAACCAGGACAAAAAGTTGATGATTTCAGGCTGTAGACATTTTCCCCAAGACATCAGAGCAAGAATCGTATTATAATTTGATTTATTCAATTGGTTGCCTTTAAGCCTAGATTCAGGGCTCAAAACCATTATGCAAACTGGGATTGTTACATTACTATTAATTTTACTTTGTATATTTCCTTTTTAAACTTTTTATCTGTTATTTGTCAAATTTTTTTGCAGAAGAAGTACAATTCCTAAAAAATAATGCTAGAGCCCAGCACTCTGAGGGGACAACGAGGGACTAAGGAAAAAAATTTAAAAACTTAATAATAGACTCCAGGTGGACTTAGCCTGAGTGCCACTCCCTTCAAGCCTCCCTGCACTCAAAGGTGGCTAAAAGGGTTTTAACACTGACTTTTAGTTGCCAATCACTCCTGCCAATGCAGGATGCACGACCAGACCAATAATCTGGGAAAGGTCTATTCTGTCACCAAGGGACAACCAAAGCCTAACTACAAGATGACTGATCATAGATACTTTTGGAAAAATATATTGATCAAGAGAGGGAAAGGTGAAAGCTATTAGAATCAAGACGGAGTCATGTTTCCAAAAGCCCTGACAAATGGAGCCAGGGAAGTCCATGAAGAGAGGGTTCTTACACACTACCTCAAAGACCCAGAAGAAACCACGCCAGCTTGCACGAACACTATTCCCAACCTTACACAGAAAATACTTTTGCGACACCTGCCTAGAAGCTCATTGTCCAACCCCGAACTGGCAGCATCCTTGTTATTAATCCTTGTAGCCAAGAACTATTATTTCAAGAGAATTATATAATCTTTATCTGTCCTTTAAAAACCTGTCTTACTTTACCTTCCCGAATACACACAGTTTACTACAGCATGCATATTGACTTCACAATGCCCTATTCCCAAATTAACATCATTTTCTTTTAGAAAGCCTCTGTTACTTAGGTTGACAGTTATTACACCTGAAGACTAAATGCTAACTGATCAATAAAATTCTTTGGTTCTACTGTATACTTTTATTTGGGGACATCTGTTCCAAACACACTAATTACAGTACACTCACTTTTTAATATAGACAGTATACATTTTTTAAAATCACACAAAAAGTATGTCTAAAATTTTTATATTTAATTTCAAACACCAAACTTAAATAGACCAATAACACAGATCTTCCGTGGTCCACAAATCATGGTAAAAAACTTTGTTTTCATATGCCCATTATGGCTTGCTGACTGGCTTACTGCATTTTAGATTTTCCTTATGATTTTAGTAGCTTTCTCTAATGGAATGTGCTGAGTGAAGCTTCAAACATTTTCCATTGAACATACACAGATATCCAAATAAAGACTGGAAAAAATATACACCAAACAGTCATTTTCTCTGGTTGTTGGAATCTGGGTGATTTTTTAAAGTCCCATCCACTGTGCTGCCAGTAAAAGACCACAAAATATTTTTGTGTATTTACAGGAACGTGATAATCAAAAGTTGTTGTGGGACCATTCAAGATGAGTGCAGGGAAGGGAAGCCCATTTAAACATATATTCAAGGAAAAATAAATTAAGTTACCTGAACATTTGGGTAGAAATACTGAGCACTGCTATGGTCTGTCTCCCAAACTGTCCCTCAAATGCATCATGAGATTTTATCTTCATTGTGGTGGTGGTTGAGAGCTGGGGCCTAGTGGGAGATGTTTGGTTCACGGAGGCAGATACCTCATGAATGGCTTGGTGCTGCTCTTGCAATGAGTTCTCACTCTCTCAAGACTAGATTAGTCCCCATGAGTGGGCTGTTAAAAAGAGACTTGTTTGGTTGTTGTTAAAAAGTGGGTCGTTTGCACTTCTGCTTCCCCTTTGCCCTTCTCCATCAAGCTATGAACCAGCAGCAAAGCCCTTGCCAGAAGCCAGGGTCATGCCCTTGAACTTCCCAGCCTGTAGAACTGTGAGCTTTTTTCATAAGTGATCCTGCCTCAGATATCCTGTTATAGTAACATAAAACAGACTAAGGCACACAAAAGCTGAGGACTGATGTCAACTCCACTTTTAAGGGCTACCAAACACAGCCACATCACCAAAGAGAAGCTCACTTCCTGACCTCCTTAGAAGCTGAAACTTGACTCTCCGGGCATGATAACTGTTGTCTTTTAAAAATTTCAGCATCAAAGTTAAAACATACCTTGATCAGTCAACCAAATTACTGCTAAACCAGTACTGGGAAGCTTCCTAAAGCACTCCAAGCTTCTAACAACAGCCAGCATGAAGTAAAGCAGATAGCATCTTTGCATTTAAGAAGTCAAAGAAAGGTTTTGGAAATGGCATTAACGTAAATGTTCACATTAAGAGAAAAAGGTTTCCCTGAATTGAATGATTCTTTCTACTTTCTAGTGCTGGACACGATAGGCTCAGACTTAGAGTGTTAACTTCCAGTCATGTGATAATGGCCAGGAGCAACCACAATGCTTAACCTTTAGATAGAAAACACATTCCTTTGCTTTTGTCTTCCTTATGTATGTTAGATTAGGCTTCTATTCAATCCTCTATGAGTTAAAACATTTAGAACCAAATAGGCCATTCTATTGAGACCCAGCTTGAGCACTCTTCAGCTTCTCCACATTTTCCATTATTTGCTGGCAAACTAGTACAGTAACCTGTTAAATACAAAGCAAGGGTGTGGTAGATTGACTGCATTTAAGGCTCCAATTCTTCACCCCTCCTGTGTTCTCTCCCTTGGTCTAATAACTCTGTAGTGCCTTCTCACACTGGGTTTAGCCATGTGGCTTGTTTCTGGTGAATGCTGGTTAGCATGAAGCATGCAGACGTGAAAGGGAATTATGGGATTGGGCTTGGTTGTTACTGCCTTCTACAACCTCCACAAAAACATGCTTGTTTAATGGAGGATAGGAGGCACATGGAAAAATGCCAAGTCTTTCCAGTTGAGGCCAATTCCCTCACGAACGAGGAAAGAGTACAACTGTTCCAGAGACACCTAACCAAAATCACTTATCTAATTCATAAACTCTTTATTGCTGCACACCACTGGGTTTTTGTGGTTGCTACAAGTTACTTTTGTGGCAACAATTGCTCCAGTATGTTTTATGTGACATTTATGAATTTGACATCTTACTTGCAAACTTTCTTAGAGAAAGATTTGTTAATTAGCAGAGTAACCTTCACCTGGTATTCTGTAGACTGTGCAGATTCAGTAATCCGATATTGAGTACCCATTTTGAGCTGAATGATCTCTCAAGTGCTCTCACTTAATTATCATAACTACCCTGAAAACTAACTTCATTTTAGGAAACTGGAGGAAATGAAGAACTTTAAGGCAGACTGATGAAAAGATTTATCTAAAGTCACATAAATTGGCACAGTCAGGGTCCAAACCCCAGGCCTCTGATTCTGAGTCAAATTGCATTTTCCATTACATCGGAAATGACCAAGGATTAAAATTAGCAGAATGTTATTCTGTCCAGCCATTAAAATCCAAAAAACTTTTGTTCTAAGTAGGCAATTTTCATTCCATTATCCAAGATAACTGACTGTATAAGACTGTTTGCTTCAAGCGTTCCATCCTTAGTATTCTTGTTAAAAATGGCCTTTAAGATATTGCTATTCCCAGTCAAGAAATACCCAGACAACTAAAAAGACTCAAGTCATGTAAATCATCCATTTCCCAGTTTAATCTTGAAGTGAAATTTATGTTCAATATCCCTCTCCAGCCAGTCACTATGTAAATTTTGAATTAAGACATTACTTTGTGGCAATATTGGTTAGAAAAAAAGCACATCCGCCTTTACAATGGTCACATAACAAATGCGGAAAGAGTGGCTATAAAAAAATAACGCACCCACCTTCAATCAAACGCAATCTTTTAAAGAATACAAACAAGCCAGATTCTCAGATATCTCTCCCTTTTGCAATTTTGATTCTGAAAAAAATATTTAAAGGAATCAATTAGGTATTCTAAAAGAAGGCAGTTTTCTAGGAGTTTCTTTAATTATGGGGGTTAGGCGTAGAGAGATAAAAATGGGAAGCAGTGCATAGGTAGTATGAAGTAGACATTTTGGCAAATAAAAATTGCACCGTATGACATGTCACATAGAAATTGTTAAAGACTTTGAATCCTAAAATTTAGTTTACTAAATGTAGCTTTTTATATTTTATATATTTTACCAACAAATAATTATGTTAAATTTAAGCATCTGAATCCTGAAACGATAAAGAACAGGAAAATAATGACTAAGCTAATAACTACACCTTCGGAGTATAAAATGTTGTCAGTGGTTTTCATTTTAGAATTAAAAATTTGAATTTCCCTTTGCCTACAAGTGTTAAGTAACTTGCAACAGCAAATTCCCCCATTAACAACTTCAAAGCATAGCAAGAATCCACAGTGGTTTACAGGCCACTAATTCTTTCACAGATGAAAGCATTCAATTATCTCTATAAAATTCAATTCCTTAGAATATGTGTTTGTGATTGACAATATACATTTTTAAATGTGGTGATAACACATGCTATTATTCATGATTTAAAAGTTGAAACTTTGATTTAACATGATTTAAAAGAAGTAACTTGTGGTTCTTGGGTAAAACACACACTAATATGTTTTTTTCAATATAAAAGAGCAACCTAGACATTCCTATAAAACATTTTTATTCCAGGTGGTAAGCTAGGCTTAAATTTTCACTTTTCAGCCAAGTGCGATGGTTCACGTCTGTCATTCCAGCACTTTGGAAGGCCGAGGCAGGCAAATCACCTGAGGTCAGGAGTTCAAGACCAGCCTGGCAAACATGGTGAAACCCCGTCTCCACTAAACATACAAAAAGTAGCCACGCATGGTGGTGTGCACCTGTAATCCTGGCTACTCAGGAGACTAAGGCAGGAGAATCACTTGAACCTGGGAGGAGGAGGCTGCAGTGAGCCAAGATTGCGCCATTACACCCCAGTCTGGGCAACAGAGCAAGACTCTCCGTCTCAAAAAAAAAAAAAAATCATTTTTCCCACAGCAGCACATTTTTAAACAGCAAACCATTTAGAAGTGAGTCATCGTTTGTATTAAAACCTTATTTACATGGTACTTATATTTTAAGTAGTTTGATCAGATACTGCCACAATATAGTTTAGAGATAAGGCCTCTCATGAAGGAAAACTTTACAACATTTAAAATCAGAGCAAATGAATTTCTTAAGTTCATGATATGTACTCTCAATGGAGAATCGCTGTTGGGCAGTGGTTAAGGCCTCTGATTTACTACTTATCAGAAAAATCCACATACACACAAAACTCTGCTAAAATTCCAATGGCTTCTCTAGATGAATAATCTTTGGCTGTGAGCAAAAAAGTTAACTACGTTTCACTTAATACACATACACACACACACACACACACACATACATACACACACACTAGGGTGTATATGCAGCAACTTCCTCATCCTCATTCCACATGTAGCCCATTCTTGGCTGGGTTATGGCTTGTAATCTCAGAACCACTGCCCCCAAAATGACTGCTCAGTAGCACAATCTCACTGTAAACTATGGAACCCAAACTATACAGCTATCCTTGGTTTTTAACTCCAAGCTATCTAGGCCTTGTGATTTTATGTGGGCTTCACAGCAGAACCTACCCAGCTTGTGGTTATCGATTTTCTGCTCACCACGTAAGCAGTAGCTCAGTAATACTGTCCAGTTTTCATGCATATCCAGACACACAGGTGAGAGTTCTGTTCCAAGATCTCATTTTGACCTCCTTCAAAGGTCTTCTCCAGCTCTCCAAATTGAATGTATTCTTCAACCCGGGGCTTAAACTGTACTCTGCCCATCTTCTTCCTGGACCAAACTGTTCAGAAGTTAACTTCTTTTTCTTGTCATCACATCTCCTTCCTAAACTACTTTAGAACTTAAGTAATTTTATTTTCACGTAACACTTAGAAAGGTGCAGAGGCAGCCAACAAAACTACTGAAGACAGACTGTAAAAACTGGCAAATCTCCATCTCAAATTCCATTTATTCTATAACCAATAAAGTCATGCAGCTTGGACTGGGGCACAGTAATACATTCTGTTCTCATGTAGCTTCCTAAAGAGCTTGCTTAGTCTATTGTTCATTTATCACTGAACCTGTTATCTGCTATGTCTGATTCAATGTTCTTGCCTTCTATTAATGTCATTTTAAGAATTACTGCATGTCTCACTATGGCAAAATAGCATGACATTTGTTTTACAAAATCAGTTAAACCAATTCTACAAATATTTCCATACCCATTTATAGCAGCAGAAGATAATTTTTATGTGCAAATTAGCTTTTTGGGTTTTTCTATTCCTATATTTGTAAACTTGTAATTTTTAGGTTGGGCTTACTGTATATTTTGATGAAAAGGGTGACTCTGTCAAAGGGGAAGCTAGATAACTGTATGTTGCAAACATGTTCATGAACACATTCTTCATCCAAACTTAGACAAACCTGGAGCTTACAATAATTGCATTGGATGACATCAGTTTGATACTGATATGCCTGCTTCCTGCACTAAGAGGCTTTCAATCTATTTTGAAGAGGGAAAAAATATGTCAAGTGGGGAGAAGCCCAAACACAGACCTTAATACTTCTCTCATACTCTTCAGCCACTTGATGAACATGTGGAATTATGGATGCTAGGGCCATTAGAAAAATCTCCTGATACAGATCAGTGTCACTACTTCAAGCTAAGCCGTGGCAGGCAATGCAAGGGTGAGGTGACAATGTAGAAGGATCTCCTCTAGTTATCCCTCAATGTTGTTGTTCAATGTTGGGAGGTCCCTTTTAGATTGTTTATATAGTGGCAGGTGGTAGCAATTATAGTAAATCTTCTTGGGTTTCCTCGTAATAAACAAGTGTTGATAAAACTGTACCAGTCCCAGGGCTATCCAATGCCATGCAGAATAGTGTATTTTAGCATTTGAGGTCCCTTTTTGTTGCATACTAAAGCATGTTTAAAATGGTTTGCAGAAAACAGTCTGCTAACCAGAAAAATACTGATTCATCCACAGAACTGAATTCTTGCAAGGCACAGAGGAAGAGTGGCTGACCTAAATATTTCTCATTTTTAAAATTATTTCATATGATTATATGAGATTATATCTTATCTAGTATTTTTCAATGGAGCCTTAAAAATGTTATTTTGTTAAAAATATATTTTAGCAAATTTCAACTCTGAAGATTTTTTTTTACAGCATAGATCTTATGTATTAGAGCACTAATGTGGCATAGGCAAACTCTAAAATAAATAAAAATGTATAAATAGCACTGTGCAGTGTGTGGTGTGTGCCTGTTATGGGGCAATATTAAGTAGTATAAATTTATCTGCCGGGGGATAGGATAATCTTTTACATAACACCAAATTAAAAAAACAAAAACATGCACTCTTAAAATCATAACGTCCATATGTGAAATACACTTTTTTTGGTTTCCATATAATTTAGGGAGTGAACACCAAAATGTAATCCCATATAAAAAAAGATCAGTTTAAATAAAAATTAGAACAATTAAAAATTAGTCCCATAGTAACATGGTAAATAACTCAAATGGCTTTCTTTTAATGCTAGGAAAACTGTCCACCTTTCAACGGTGACAGGGCTGTTAACACAGGTAAGAGCAAACAAGGTAAAAAGTGAAAGCACATACAGATGATGCACACAAATATATATAAAAACTGACCAGAAATCACAGGACATGTCAGCAATGTTTTCTTAAGCAGAACTTTTTTTGTACTTTAAATAGACTAAAATATTTGGTGTAGGTGGGGGAAGGACAGCAGTATTCAACAATCTTAACTTGAAAACCAGCTGTAATAAAGCCTCAGCTCATTGTTTAATAAAAATAAAAAAGGAACCACATCATACTTTTGACAGTAATAGAACAAAAGCTTACAAAGAACATATTTAATATCTCCATCACAGTGCACCAAGGATGCAGCCACTGAGGACTATCAGAGGGAAACAAGGAACAGGGTCTGCATCCATCATATTGCGTTACAAAATTAATGCCATCAGAGAAAAAAATCTCACCTCACGTGCTCAGTGTTCTAGCTGGTAAGCACCTTATGAGTATGAGGCTAGAATTGAGAGAAACTGCTCAGTCTGCATCAGGACACCCAATTCCTTCACTTGCCATTGGCTGATGCATTTAATCATTTCAACACAACATTCACGGAGAAATACACCACCACATTCTGGCTTCTTGAGCAGGACAGACTGGGAAATGCAGTAGACGCCAGAGCATCAAAGGCCACGTATTTCCTCACAAGAAATCTGCAACTACAATTGGTTTCCTTTTACTATGAAAAATGTAAATTTCAGATTAAGTTTAACCCCGTAAGGACACATGATTTGTACTTACATATACACATAGGTTCAGAAGAACTTACTATCTAGTTGGCCTCTTCTCTGTTTCATTAAAACATCAGTTACCTTTGCTGGATCACGAAGTGTGAGTCTCACCACCATGCTGGTACCTTCAGCGATTACCTGTGTTATAAATCTCATGTTCCATTCACAGTAGTAAGTGCCAATAAGTATCAGAAATGTTGACAGTCATAGTGCAGCTGAGTTTAGAAGCAACTATGACAACATAAGGAAGTGAGGGTAAGTCACGAGAACACCTAAGGTGGTCAGCTCCTTCAGGTGTGTCTGGGACTTGCTTGGGTTTAGCACTGAAAAGTCCCACATCTGGGGAAACCCTCAGTCCCAGGCACATACTCACTCTTTCCTTAATATCACTAGAGAAAAGGTAAGAACTTTCAAGGGCATGAGGCTACCTTTAAGGGCATCAGTCCCCAAAATATTTTTACATCACTAGCTAATGGCTAGTTCCTCCAAGCTTGCTAAAAGGCTAGGAAGTCCAGAAATACCTTACTTAAAGGTGTTAACTTTAAGAAGAGTTGGCAGTAATCAAGCAAATTAGTGAGCAGTGTATAAAAGCTCACTCTTGAAACCTGTTTTCAGACATATCTTCTAAAGGTTCTCCTAGCTTTGTCCGGTTCTATAGTATTATACTGTATTCTCTTTTTGCAATTAATCCAGTTTTGTATGTCTTTTTTTTTTTTTTAGGTGAAAATATTCTATGCCAACTGTTTTCCACAGTCTTGCATTATATATTGAAACAAAGACTGCCAGCTGGAGAGACAGCCCTCTGATTACAAAGGCCCAGAATGTTACTTTTAACTGTGCTCCACCAGGAGGTCTGGCCTTGGGAAAAGATGGTGAAAGTAATATTCTCAGATATGAACATTTTTTATTCTGCCTACAATGCTGTGATCTAGTTCAACAACTGCAGAACTGTTTTCATCTTAATCTCTGTAGTTTTTCTTTCTTTACTCTTTTGTATAAAAGGTTAGTGGCACAGCTTCACTATCACTAATAAAAAGATACAAGTATGCCTTTAAAGTCAGGGTTGGAAAAGCAAAAATGAGGCGTGAGGTTAAACTGGTCTAAGAAAGTACTAATTTGGGTTCTGCATTTTGTCAAACAGTTAAAGGTTTTTTAAAAAATTCAAAACTCATGCATGTTACCTACTTGTTACGTGTGAATTATTTCTCACGATTTTAATTAATCTGTGTGTATATCAGTTATATAAAGGAATGGATTTCCACATTCTTAAAGCAGGAACCTATATTCACCAGAAAAGGACCCTATTGTTTCTCACCAAATTTTGTTTCAGCTTGAACAATTCAACACTGGAAATAGTAAGAGTGGCAAACAAATGTTTTCTTAGGGACTTACTGAGAAAAGAAAAACCTTACTGGAAGAACAAAGACTTAGTAAAATTTCTATTGCTACAGACAAATGCTAAAAACCAACTTTACAATAACAGCATTATAAAGGGTAGAACTTAATACAGAACCAGAAATATGGCAAGTTACCTAGTAATTAACATTGTAAAATAGTCAAAAACTTCAAAGCCACAGAGAAAGGAAAACAATTATGAAATGGAAAATATATAATATTTAAGTATTTTTATAATTCTAAGACTTCACTTTTGTCCTTAAATCAATATATTACGGATTTCATTGTTCAATAAATTACCATCTTTAATTAAAAATAAGAAGTAAATCAAAGAGCATATTTTGGAGCAACTAAGAGCTGTTACTTTTTGGAGGGTAAAAGAGTATTTTTCTTGAAAATTTTTTGAAGAAAAATCTAAAAGCCCTCTATGTTGAGTTAATATACCTTTCTGACCCCCATCATCAATGGCATTATTCCTCCAAGGGACTCTTAACATCTAAGCAACAGTGAAGTTCTGGGTCCATTATGGATCTCATGGCACCAAACCAACTGACACTGAAGTCAAGTTAATATACTCCAGCGAGATCACCTGTGGGTCAAAGATGGCCCAGAGAATCTTGGAAAATCCATTTATGTTGAGCAAAGCTCTGAATCACCTTCAATCAGGCTGTCAAATACAGAAAAATTTGGTCTTGTAGTAGTATTTCCCAGGGTAACTTAAGCAACAAACTTACACCAGAGGAAGAATTAAAGAGGGAGCAATCTAGTATTATCAACAAAAACAACAAAGTTAACCCTAATTTAGTACATCCCAGAGTCCACTGGATGTATAATAATTTAGTAATGGGGTATATGACAGAGCTTTCTTTGATGATAACGAATTCTGGCTGTGATTCTGTTACCAAGTTGCCAAAAAATGGTATACTAACTGAACTGCCAAATGGCAGATTAAGAAAATTAATGTATTCCGATGGTCTGTCCATGAAAGGAAAATGTATACAGACAAATTAAGAACATTTTACCAAGATCTGAGATTCAAACAATGGAACAATTGTTTTAACACTGTTAGAATGACCCCAACTGTTAGTTTGTCTATGAATGTATACATATATATAAATTCATACACACACATTATTTCATACTTAAAAAGACTGAGGCAGTTCTGCTATATATAGTTAGCTACAATATCCAAGATAAAACAATTCCTACTCAAAAAATTACATGAACACACGAGATAAGTTCTTATCATAAATGCTCTCATGAGGCTATCTAGTATAGCTCATATTTCCTGGTTCTAACGCTCAAAACACAGGAATTCCACTCTAAGAGATAATTTGCCCCTCAATCCCCACATACAAAGTGTAGTCTAAACAAACAAAATGGTAATAAAAAATTGAAAAGGAAGATATAAAAAGAACTCAATAGCAGGATTCTGACTACCTCTGAAGACCACACACTATCATTATTCCTGATTGTCTTAAATACAACAATCCAACATGCCCCAAGATGGAAATTTGGCATCGTAGGGAAAACATTGGCTACGACTGTCAGAACTAAGTTCGTAATCTTAAACATAATTTATGCCATTTGCCAGTCACAAAGACATTTACTGAACAGAATTTTTGAGCCATCTGTAAAATTAAAATGATTGAATCAATTTGAAAAGCAATCTTCATGATGAAGAAATTAGGACTCTAGGTATGAAAAGCACGTTTCTTTTTTGTTAATAAATTCAAAGGAGAGAAACATTCTGATATATACAGATAAAAACATGGCTAACAAGAAAGAGGGTAACCAGCAAGTACTACCTGGATGTGTAATGTCAGGAGGAAAGGAAGAATAAAATTCAGGTAATTAATAGATTTAGCAAAGTAAAGTACATGAAAGGAAGAAATGTTTGATATGTCTAAATATCAATGCCTTAGATCAGAGTAAGAAAAAAAGTCATTCATTGTTCGTGTACACAGATTAGATATCTAAAGAGATACTTGGTGGGCAGGGGCTTGGGATGGAGGGCGCAAATTGGAATGTTCAGCTTTTAAAGCAAAGACTGTACATGAAGACATATTTTAAGTACAGTGAAGATTGTCTTGTGTTACTTTATATCCCACCATAAACCTACCCCACCCTCAGACTAAGAGGGTATCCAACGCTGAATAAATGCTGAAAATATTTAGTAGTTAAAGAAAAAAGAGAAGGATCTTAAAGGTATATATGGGAAGCTTTTGGAAGAGGTAGAGAATCCAGTGGCTTATATATTCTCTTCTATTTGATTTCAACTAGCAAGAGACTAAAATTGATGTTTGTTTTATCTTCAAAGTCTTAGTTTTAAACTGACAAGGGCACAAAAAAAGTGAAATTAAAATAATTTTAACAAAAGGGAAAGCGTTTGACAGTGTTTAAAAGACAGACAAATCAAGCAAAACTGAATGTGGCTTAAGGTAAAAAATACAACTAGGTATTAAACAATTTGTAAAACCTTACAAAGAAAATTTAACTTTCAAGAAAAATTAGGTAGATTTCCTTCTGGCAGTGACAGGTCCTGAGGGAAAAAACATAACCTCTACAAGACCAAGCACAGCTCAAGGGTCAGGGCCCCATCCTAGTCATCTTTTTATTATTCAATATCTACCACAGCGGCTGGGCAAACAACAGGCATCAATAAATGACTGAATGTGTATTATAAGGTATCATCAGTATAACCGATATAGCTCAAATCTAATCATGAAAGCTTCGTTAAAGTAGGATAAAAAGAGCACAATCAGTGGTATTCCAGAAGGTAGGCCTAAATCCAATCATATTTTCTAATCTCAACCAGTGGCTATAAAGACTTTCTGAGCTTCTTTTTAAAGCAATGAAACTCTTTCCAAAAGAAACCCCATGCAGTACTTCAATACAGAATAAAGATGCCACTGGCTAGACCAAAGTCAATGGGAACTCCAACAGCCTCCCCTAAGCCAGCCCCCAAGGTGTCTCTGTGGAACCTACTGGAAAAACTACTGCTCATCTTAAAAATGTGATAGAAAGCATACTCATTCAGTTCTGAGGTCATCACACCTAGAAAATTATCAGTACTGTGAAGAACAAATCCTAAGTAATGTTGCAAATTTAAATAAAGAAAAAAATTCAACAAAGAGGAGATTCTATCACTTAGAAAAATGAAAACCACACTTATAAATGTGGGGGAGGGGCAGAAAACAAAAAAACTTAGGCCACAGTAGTTAAAATACAAAAAACATCATCTCATTAAAAAACATTAAACATATTCACACAAATGTAATTACGACCATGAAGTAAACTGCTCGACAGGTATAACTGTTCAATAGGTGTTTTCGAAGAGTCCCAATTTCACACTGTATAGAAAAATCGCACCAGAACTGTAGAGACGTGCTCCACTATTGAAATAGCATGTAGGCACGGCTTCACTTAACACAGTAATGCAAGAGTAACCGCCAAGATCAGGACCTTCTGCCACTTTCAGAGTTGTTTTCTGCCCCTACAACTGATCCCTAACACTATTACAAGTTCCCAAGTAAGTAAAAGAAGGGCAGAGGCTCCACTGAGTATCTCCTACAGGCCTGATAGTGGTATTACCTAGGATATTTACTCTGCTCACAAGATGGGTAGTAGAAGACATAATTACTGGACAGCACGAAGTCTAGAAGCAAGCAGCAGGGCACTAAAATAGTGAGAGTTTACACAACAAAAGCTTGTTAAATTAAGTAGTATGTGGTACAAATGCAATTTTTACAGCAAAGGTTGAGGAAGAAGATATACTAGTGAGAATGACATGAAGCAGATCACAAAATAAGGCCACCTTCAAAATATTATAAACTATAGAATCATTCTGATCTTCAAGTTTGGATTTATAGAGGTTTCTGTATAAAGCATTAATACCTAATCACGAGTTTCCTTTAGTGTGAACCTTTTTGCGTTTGAAGGTATTTTCTTTGCCAGGAATGCTTGCCTCCCCTGGCTCATCACTTGGCTAGGTTCTTCAATGTCAGGTATTAGCTCATGTATCCTTTCCTTAGAGGCTTTCCTTGATGTCCTACCTGAAGCATCCCATCTGTTATTCTCCAGTACAGTACCCTGTTTATCTCCTTCATAGACAAGTAAGATGATTAAGGGTTAGTGTAACTGCTGTCTCAGCAAAGGCAGGAACTGTAGTTGTCTTGTTCACCTTTACCCAAAGACTAAGAAAGTTCCTGGTACAAACAGGTGAACAATAAATATTTGTTGAAAGAATAAAAAATTACTATACCAAATTTACATAAATACATACACATACACACAAATATAGGAAAATGGGGAGTACACGATAGAAAACCACCAAATGTTGAAAGTATTGAAAAATGATACCTGTAGAGATAGGTGAATATGATTTCAAAGAACAATTACCAAAGATAGCTTCAAAAATATGAAAATTTATGAAAAGACGACCAGGAGTGGTTATTTTCCATTTCTACTAAGATGCAAACAAAAAGAAATGTTTAAACTGCAATGAGTCAATATTAGATGTCATAATTATTTGCTGCAGAATGAACTACCAACAGAGTTTTGGAAATCTCCTCTCACTACAGAGTATGAAATATGGTCACAACCACAAAACCAGGATCAGTTAAGGACAGCTCAGACTACAGGTAACTTATAAGCTAAAAAACTTGCTAAATAAATGGCTTTTCCCCCAATTTTTAAAATTCTGAATTCATAATTATGTGTAGAATAACAATCAATTTATAAATTGAATACAACATACTTTAAAAACAGATGGCCCGTATCTGCTGATCGTACCTCTGCATCACTTTTCTAGGTATTTTGCAGAAACAATTACATTTACAAAACGTCCATTTCATAATACAATCTGGTAACTAAACCAAATCAAGCTACTCGAAGAGCAGAAGGTCTGCTGTTGAAATATTTTAAAATACCTTTTGAAAAATGGGTATTTAAAGATTCGCTTTTTAAAAAAGGGATATGTATATGGAAGTAATTCCAGCATATCCCTGAAAATAATTATACTGCCACCTATGCATTTTTTATGAGGTGGAAGGATAAATCAACAGACTGCTAGATTACACAAGTCAATTATTCCTGTTGAAACTTGGGCGTAAGACAAAGGGACTTTCTCCATATGAATTCTTACTGTACCCCAGAATTAACTGGTGCCAGCAGTATCAGTGCAACTATTACTGGTGATGATGTCATGCTATGCTGTTTTGATTATGAGGATAAAAATGGGAATGGAAAAAAGAGGCTTGGAAAGGTTTTCAGTATGGTTTCCTCATAATAAGATTTAGCGGTTAAAAACAAACAAACAAACAAACAAACAAAAAACACAAAAAGAATGACTGTTTAAGCCCCACTGAACACATTAAGGTCAAGGATTTCAAAAGTTAATCCACTTTTCTTCCCCCAAGAGTTTATTTTTGGTAAAAGGCAGAAAAATTAGTTTTTCTACAAGGAAAATCTGCTTCTAAATAATTTGAAAATCTTGATATATATTATATATTAAAAAAGACACACAAAAATAACAGAGAAGTGGGAATAACAGATTAGGTACTGTAACTTTATAAAGGTTTGCCTAGATCAAGAAGCAGCGCACACACACCTCATCTATGCAAACTAAAAATGTATATAAACAGCACAATACTGTGATACTGGATCATGATACATTACCTGTACACATAACTACTACTGTTATTAATAAACCTTTGGGACACTCAATTTTATGCCCAATAAGACATCATTAAGTCTTTAAAATCTTCTCTTCCTCTTTAATGGGAGAGTATTTCTAGACACTAATTTTCCCATCTAATATTCAAATATAGGAAACAGATTCCACAAGGTGCTTTAATTGATGAGACCTCAAGTGCTGTTTTCTCTCTTGAACTTTTGGATAGTAAACAGTCCATAGGGACCACACACAATACTATGACAGAAGAGTTGTTACATTAAGTCTTTTCATGGGACTTGATTGGTGAAGCTTTATGACATGCTTGAGCAACGCACTGAAGGGGATCCCATCTGAGTTAATACTTTGTCCAACCACTGTAGAGGTCCATTCAGATGAAGTTCAATCCAGCAAGGAGTACTTGTTACCGTCTGCCTTCTGTTTAAAAGAATACAGGAAAATGGTTATGAAATTCAAGTCCACAGGCAGGGAAAATGGCTATGTTTAGGTACACTGCATTAAAAATTTAGAGAAATTAAAAGGTTGTGTATATAATTTTGGACACGATTATTTCAAAAAATGGCTGATCCTCAAAGTACTTCTGATGATCTGGTTTTAGAAGTGATTTACAAGAACATTTTTTTCTCATCAAACTAAAATTAATAAGGTGATCTTATTATTCACCATCATCCAAAATGGAACACCTGAGAGAGAATGTAGATACTATTAATATCAGGCCAGGGCCAGACGTGGTGGCTCACAACTGTAATCAAAGCACTTTGGGAGGACGAGGCGGGCGGATCACAAGGTCAAGAGACTAAAACCATCCTGGCCAACATGGTGAAATCCCGTCTTTACTAAAAATACAAAAATTAGCTGGGCATGGTGGCGCGTGCCTGTAGTCCCAGCTACTCAGGCGGCTGAGACAGGACAGTCACTTGAACCCAGGAGGCAGAGGTTGCAGTGAGCCGAGATCATGCCACTGCACTTTAGCCTGGAGACAGAGCGAGACTTCGTCTTGAGGGGTAAAAAAAAAAAAAAAAATCAGGCCAAAAGGAGAGGCGTGAATAAGGATTGTCCAAGCAAACGAAGACATACAGTCACTGTACTTATCAAAACAACCACAGAATAGTAGATACTCAAACATCAAATGGAATCTAAATAAAAGTATACCAAAGCAAAAACAAAATTTTGGCCCAAGCTAAACCCATACCACAGAGTGTTAAAAGCTGGAATTCAACTTTCCCTGCCAAAGCCAATGAACACTCCTCTTAGCAACACCATTCGGGCTGTTCATAGTGCTTCAACAAAAGGGGCAACTCTATGGGAATTACAAATTATTCAAACACATCCTGTCACTTCCATCCATTGATTTTAGTTCCATCTTATTTGCTATACAGAATAAGTCAATAAATCCACTTGCTTCTATAAACTAACAGCCCTTCAAATATAAGAAAAGCCCATTATCAACTCTTCATCTCCAAGCAACACATGTTCAATATAATTTAAAACTGTACTTCCAAGGATGTCATTTTCTGAGGCAGATGGCATCAGTGCCCCACTATACCCTTCAGATTTTTCAGTGTGCTCTAGGCAACTTCCAAATGCAGGTATCTTCATTTCTGTGCCCAGGAACTTCTCTGATATACCAAAAAAGGCTAGAGGTGCCAGGAAATTAACATCCCCAGGAGCAGCTCTCAACCAAGGAAACAGAAATTGACATTTACATGCCCCGCAGTTCTGTTCCCCTGGGGAGGATAATTCTGTAGACTGTTTACTATTTCCCAAAGTTTCCCCAAGGGTGTCAGTTCTAGTGACCCACCCACTGTGGTAGGTGGCTTAACAATGGTCCTGGCTGCCCTTTTCTCCCCTGTCCCACTTCCCTTTCAGGAATAAGTCATAATCCAGGTCACTCAAGGGGAGTAGGTTTAAAAAGGCTGCCACACAGATATATTTCTTGATTAAATATGAATTCTTCATACATCTAAATTCCCTGTTTACTACATTTCCTAATTTTTAAGCTAACAACCAAGATGGCATTAAAGAAATTTTAAAAACATAGTTTTAGAAACCTAAATATTAAGTCTATTTCCTCAGCTCCAGAATGATTAAAGACAGTAAGTCCCTGGTAGCTACCCACATATCCACAGATAGATGGGTATTTGCCACTTTGATTTGTAAATGTTAGAGGAAACCACTTGATCTTCCAAAGTCAGATGTACCTGACTCCCAAGACTCACAAAAACATACTGCGTATTACTGCTTCTGTAATTACAGATTTTACTTTATCTCTGAGTTAAAGAATAGCAGAGTCCACAGTGAATGAAGAAGGGCAGTATCTTTACCAAGTAAAACTGCTCTTAGCAGAAGATCTATAGATACACATGGAATTCTCTCTGTAAGTCACTCTTATTTCCACTAAATTCCTATCATATTTTGCCTTATTCTAACCTTTTGAAGAAAAAAGTCTGACCTGAAATCTTATTAGACAATATAATTGAAATCCAATTTTGCTATCAACTCAAGTCTAAAGCTTTAAGAAAACGGCATTCACCATTCTCTACAGGTAACAACATCTCAAAAGGGTAATAATCAAAACAGAACTATAGCAAAATCATAAAATGACTCTACCAATATAACTCAGAAAAATTAGTGACAAGTCTTCATTTTGATATAAATACATAACATATATTTTAAAATGTATTCAACAAGTACACCTCACTCTCAAAGTCAGATTTCTGACAAAACTTAAGTTAGACAACCAAGTTCAAAACAAATCAATTTGGAAGAGACCAAATTGCCAGAAGCAGCAGGAATACAATCACTATATTACATGAAGATTTCTTAAGCAAGCATACGGAGAAAACAATACAAATTGAAGACTAAGTATTTTATTTTACTTAATTCCTACTCTTAAATATGGTAAAGTAGTCTTCCCTCTCTTTGATGTGAAATCCAATCTACTGTTTATCAATAATCTATTTTATCCACTGATGACAAATTAGTTTTTGTAAAACTTAAATATATAATTGTTACTACTATCCTTATAGAAGAGGTTAAGAGTCCAGGGGAACTATCTTCCAATCCCATCTCAACCACTTATAATGTAACCTTGGGTAAATTACCAGCTTTCTATGCCTATTTACAAATATGTATTAGTTTGAACCATTTGTTACCTGCAAGGATGGCAATTTCATATATTTCAACCTTACAAAGAATGAATTGACAACAGAAATAGTAATTTTTAGATACTACACTTAAAACAGCACAATGCCTGTCACATTAGCAAGTATTCCTCCTATTTCTGAATGAAGTTCCTCCTCTTAACCTACATTCAGTTTGTCTTAATTTATTTGTCCAGCCTTATTTTTTCTATTCTCCAAACTGAATTGCTATGCTATCCTCAAGATTATCACTTCCCAACTCTGCCCACCCCATTTATGACTACTGAAATCCAACGCATCTTTTACAACTGGATCCCGTGCCATCAAGTTTTTCTTGAGCACTGTGTGCAAACATATCTCCTTCCATAAACTAACATAACTCTTCATATACACCCCTTTTATGGTATTTAACACTCTGCATTATCTTAAAATGCATGCCCGTGCATGTTTTAATGATATCTTCCATGATGGCAGCTCAGTAATTTGCAATAGTTTTTAATTTGGAGGCCTCCAACCTTATTTTACATAAAGATCAGCTGACTCTAACCTCAATGAAAATAGATACAAATGAACTCCAGAATATGCAAAAACGGAATGAAACATAATTACATTGTGGAAATTTAAGAACCAAATATGTATTTCATACCGGTATTCTGCTCCCCACCCTTTCACAAAACTCATTCTTATGGTGCACATTCTAGTTAGCTGGTAGACGGCTTCAAAACCCTGATTAACAGACTGAGCCAGAAGAGCAGCAAATTCCTGGTTGTTGAAGATCTTCAGATTACAGCCTATGATAAAAAAGGTAAAAGAAACTGTCAAAAGAGTATCACTACTAAAAATTTTAAAAGGGTTACAAGTTTTAGAATATGAGCATGCAATCATCTACCAATTCCTAAGATTAGCAACTAGAAAAACTAAGCAAGTTGACATGATAGGTTTATTTACATTATTGAATGCATACCTGGTGGAATTTTACACACTGTTGCAGGGTGCCAACCGTATCTCTGATTACAATTGGGGCTCTGCACAAAGATTGCACTATCACTTAGGCACTCAGCAAAAACTTCCCCACCTATGTAATATAAGCGCACTCCTCTTCCTGAAACAAAATACAAAGGAGATTAGTTTTGTAACATTTACTATTTCCGTGTGACTTTAGAAGCATTTTCTTAGGAAAATTCTAAAATGATATAAGGTATTTCGAGGATCTTTTTCACAGATAATGTCTTTCTGAAGTCTAACTTTAAATATACTACTGTATATTTCTCCAAGAATACTATTTCACCAAGAATACTATATATTTCTCCAAGAATATTCTAGGTTTTATTGATTTTAAAATACATGTGTATCGAAAGTATTTAAACAATGTAGAAAAAGTACACAGATAGTAAAATAGTTTCATACAAATGGTATATATTATTTTAAAATAAGTAAAAGATTGAGTTAATTTTTGAAGGAATTCACTGTTTGGAGAAATATATCTTCGTTACAACTGTATTTTCTTAAAGATCCCACTAACGTTAAGAAAAAAGATACAAAAACATCAAGAGGTTAAGAGTCATTTCCCATTTTGAAAACTATATATTACGGTGGAAACCAAGCCTCTAGATGTATAAGCATGATTAAGTGAGAAAAAATTCTACTGGGAGATTTTTAATATACTTCTTTCAGAGTATGACAGATCACAGATGCAAAATAATATGAGATATAAGAATTTTAAAAAAAAAAATTGTGAGAGGCAGAATTCTAACACGGCACCTAAGAGTCTCAGCCCTGAGATGCACATACATTCTCTATTAATCAAACACTAGGTGCTGCTGTTAAGGAATTTTCCAGATGTAATTAAGGCAGCAGATCAGTTAACCTTAAGAAAGGGAGATTATATTTGGTGGGCCTGACTCAATCAGGCAATCCTTTAAAAGGGACTAGACTGTCATAGGGTAGTGATGCAAAGCATGAGAAGTATTCAACACAAGAGGCATTCTCCATCGCTGACTTTGAAGATGGATGGCACCACGTGACAAGGAATTCAGGTGGCATCTAGGAGCTGAATTCTGCCACAACCATGTGGGCTTAGAAGAGGACCTCAAGCTCCAGATAAGAACACAGGCCAGCTAATATCTCAATCTTCGCCTTGTTAAACCTTGAAAAGACCGCCTAACCCATGACTGGACTCCCGACCCATAGAAACTGTGAGGTAAAAAATTGGTGTTTTAGGCCACTGAGTTTGCGGTAATTTGTTACACAGTAAAGAAAACTAATAAAACAACTAACATTCCAGATTTAATAAATACAGAACCTGGTACGCTGGTTCTGTTAAGACTATGGAATATTTGTAAAATAGTTATGCATGTGGTCATTGGAAAAACATTAAGTCCAAAAGTAGAGATTTTTCAGGCTATATTCCCTTATCAAAATCACCTATAAAACTAGAAATCAAAAATTAAAAAAAATCTAATAATGACAGCAATCTAAAACTTTGGAGGGAGAAGAGAATAGGGCAGGAAAAAACCCATTAAATTTTTTTGCAGAACCCCAAATAAGACACAAAAACAAAAAACTATTTTAGTTAAAGCACCTACAGTGCCACTGGGTATCTTAATAAGATTATCCAAATTTATACATCAAGCAAGATTTGAGAACTTCCACATGGAACCAAGTAATAGATCTTCTAGTCATTATCATTTTGCAGTATCAAAATCAGCCTTTGATAACCAGCATTACTTCTCACAGGAGGTGATGGTTAATCAGAAAAAAAAAACAGAAGCAAACTATTGTTAAAATAAGTTACTTTAAGGTGATGAGAATGATGTTCAATTATGAATGGCTCTCACACTTTTTCACTTCATTGTTAAGGAAATACTGAGCACCCCAAGAGCTTTTGTTTATGTGAATATTATGGAAAATGACCATATTAGATATAAAAACTGAGATTTAAAAAACTCATTTAAAAATCAAATAATAAATCCATTACATATTAACATAAACAATGTTTATGAAAAACAGCTGTATTTCCAAAGCAAAAAAAAACAGTGGCCACATTTCACCCTTTTGCAAATCTCTTTAATGTCTAGTGTAACAGAATTGGAGTCTCACTATCAAATCTACATTTCATCTCCTGCAAAATCATACGTATGTAGGCTCTAGAATACTCCACTGTGCACTCATGAGAGAATGAGAGTAAAAATGGCAAACAGCATTTCGGTACTACTGTGAAAATAGCTTTGACCTCACAAACTAGCTGAAAGGGTTTCTGGGACTACCCGAAGTCCGCAGACCACATTTTGAGATGTCCCTGAATTATATTTTGAACTATATTAAACGCAGTTCTTGTTTTAGATATCTCATTTCAGATGAACAGCAAGCAGATTTCATTTAATATATAAACTCACCAAAGGGGAAAAAACCTGGAAGCTATATAAAGGAACTGAAAAAAAAAAAAAAAAAAAAAAAAAAACATACCTATATGCCTTCTTGTCATTTCTACTGTGGCATTTCGGTTAACATTGGAGAGTAAACCTAAGCAGAACCTCTCTGAATTTGATGGATCTGTAAAGCCATCTACAGTGAGTGAGGGTTGTGATGCATGGAAGGTTTCTCCAACCCTCTGATTTAATTCATAATATGCTATTGAACACCAAAATGCAGGTTCTGAGTAAGTAACTGGCTGTAAGTCTGAAAAAGAAAAAAATAAAAATAAAAAATAAATAAAAGGAAGAAATGTGTGAACAATTCAAGCCAAAATTAGACTGAATATAATCATCTTTACATGCTCTATGCCAGCCTGCACTGGCAAAAGCTCAGGAAGTAGACATAATCGGTTTCCATAGATCATACCAGATTTTCAATATTTTTCACCCAAAACTCCAGTTTCATATATCATACCAGATTTTTTCAAATTTCCCCCATGTCATTAAATCACTTTTTGTTGGATTCTTTGTTTTACCAGTAGTTTTAGTCTAGCTCCTGTTCAAATACAAAACAATCATAGGCAAAGTCAGTCAACTTGCCATACTTGGTGCATTTCTAAAGCACATAAAAAAGCTAACGTGGGGTAAGATAAAGCCGATGCAAAGATTAACGAGTCAAAAGCCACACAAAGAAAAATAGACATAATAAAAGGATACAAAATATAACATATTTTTACATTTGTCTATTTTAACATCAAATTCTTGGTGAGATACCCTAGCTACAAAAAGAGAAAATCCACTCACACACGAGAACCAGAAAGCAGTAACACACAAAGATCATGCAAGTGGAAACAGACCATAGAGTCAAAAGACTACTTATTTCACTGGAAAACTATGTATTTAGCTTCTGCAATTTTGACTAAAACATAGGAATACTGCAAAAGAAAAAAACCTCATAATTGTGTAAAATAAATTCCAAACATATAACAACCCAAGAGAAATTGTGAAATAGCAGGGTAAAATGAGGGCAAAAATAATAATAGTAATACAGAAATGTATATATAGTCATCCCTTGTCATTTGCAGGGGATTGGTTCTAGGACCGGCTCCTCCTAACTAAAAACCCTCAGATGTTCAAGTCCCTGACATAAAAGGGCATAGTATTTGCATGTAACTTAAATTCACGTCATCCTGTATACTTTAAATCATCTCTAGATTACTTATAATACCTAACAATGTAAATACTATACAAATAGTTGTTATACTGTATTTTAAAATTTGGGCCCAGCACGGTGGCTCACGTCTGTAATCCCAGCACTTTAAGAGGACGAGGTGGGTGGATCGTTTGAGGCCAGGAGTTTGAGACCAGCCTGGGCAACATAGTGAAACCCCGTTTCTACTAAAAATACAAAAATTAGCTGGGTGTGGCAGCATGCACCTGTAGTCCCAGCTACTCAGGAGGCTGAGGCAGAGAACTGCTTGAACCCAGGAGACAGAGGTTGCAGTGAGCCAAGATCGCGCCACTGCACTCTAGCCTGGGCGACAGAGCGAGACTCTGTCTCAAAAAATAAATAAAATTAAATAAACAAAATTTGTATTAGTTTTTATTGTTATATTGTTATTTTCATTTTTTCCCGAGTATTTTCAGTCTGCAGTTGGTTGAATCTGTAGGTTGAACTCATGGTTATGAAGGGACCATACACATACACATTTGTACATATACACGCACACTCTCATACATATATAACCCCCATACTACATATACATATTTATGTCAATGTGTATATATATGTAATACCATACCTGTTAATTGCTACATCATAAAACATAACCATAAAAATCTAGCCATAATAGGTTACATAATTTTCTATGAGGAATACGATTTCAATAATAAAAAGATTATACCTATTTCTTATGTGTGTCAGCAGAAAATACTTTTAATAATTTTGAGGGATGGCATCAATATTCTTTTTAAAAAGCACTATTGTAAACCACACACATAATTATTTGGTTATTCATTAGGATCCTTTTCTCCGATATATAAAAAATAACTCCTAGAGAAGATTTTTATTATTAAGTAGGTGATACAGTATAAACATGATGAGGGGAACGTATTTGCAACTTACCCAAGCTATGATTAACAGGGGAAAGAGTAGTAGGAGATAGTTCTGCTGGAGAGCCTAAAACAAAAGGATTTAATTTAAAAATAAATGAAGTATTTCCAGAACTTCTGATCAAGTAATCATAAAACTGGTTTTATCTGGTAATAATTATCAACAATAATACAAAGATAATTTAAATACCAAGAATTCAGGATATATAGTGCTTAAATTTAATTTGTGGGGGGTGGGTGGGAGAAAAGGTGGGGGGTTCCTGTATAAAAGGTGCAACAGTTTTGGCTTGCAGCCCACCAGTTCATCTTCCCAAAGATACTTAATGTTGACAGTTCCTTAGGTATCTTTCCAAAATATTCTATGAACCACATAAGCAAATACATTTTTGTTCTGTGTCCTTTCTTTTCATACACAAGTGGTAACCATTTTTGATCTTCTATATTATTCTACCAGATTGTTCACAATGTGTTATTAGTCATATAACATTGGGATCCCATATTGATGGATATTCAGGCTATTTTCAATCTTTTGCTACAAGAACCAACGCTTTAAGATTGCAATAACTAATCTTGACCATTCTGCATGCTTCCAATCACATCTGAAGGATACATTCTTAAAGAAACTGCCAGGTCGAAAGGTTTGTGCACTTGCAATTTTGATAGATTTGGGTAAAATTATCATTCATCAAGGTTGTACCAGTTTACATTCCCAGTCAGAACATAGTAAAGGGATGCCTGTGGTGTTATTGCTTCTAGATGAAAACATGGTCACAAGTACAGTTTTAATTTTGAGTAGCTTTACACATGTTTACACTGTATTTCCTTTCCGTAATAGCCTATTCTTTTTTTTTTCTGTGATGTTGATCATTTTCTTATTGATCATTCGAAAGCTCTTTATATATATTAGGGATACAAGACTTCTTATGGTATGAGTTACAAATATTTAGTCATTGGTCTTATGACTCTTAATCCTAATTTTGATCATGTAGCACTAAAAAAAAAAACCCTTCTACATGATTTATCAATCATCTTTGGGTTACTGTCACACTTTGGGATAAAACAGTGATGATGGTGGGTATCTTACTCTTGACTTTAGAGTAATGTTTCTACCATTTTTCCCATTAAGCATGGCATTGGCTTTGAGGCTGACAGCAATGAAATACTTATTTAGGATTTTTGCATCAATAGTCTCAAGCAATATGAGCCTGAAAATTTACATGAGTGCTATGTTTGTAAGGCTTTGTGGTCAATGTTATTACAATCTAGCAATTTTATCCTCTGAAAAGGTTTAAACAGTATTATAACAGCATATTCTTCAAAAGTTTGGTAGAATTCTTCTGTGAAATCATTTATAGTTAGTAACTTTCTAGGGTTTACTATGAGACATTATTCTATGAAGGGTGACTTGTTCAGATAGCTCTATTTTCTGGAGTCAGTTTCGGTAAATTACACTTTCTTAGAAAATGATGTTTTTTCTTTTGGGTAAACAGGCTAAATCTAATCAAGAAAGTAAGGGGGCACAAATATACAAAATAAGAACCACCAGAGACAACAGATGAAAAATCAAGGTGCGACTAGTCTGCTCAATTCCATGCAACTCAATTTTAAAACACATTTGCTGTAAGCGTTGTTAAATAATCTTATTAAAAATATAAAAAATGTTTTATGATCATCATTCTCTACACGTTTAGGGAAAGTTACCTAAAAGAGCATGACCCAAGCTTCAAATGTATACCAAGAGCATAACTGTAGAATAAGATAGGTCAGGCCAGGCACAGTGGCTCACGCCTGTAATCCCAGCACTTTGGGAGACTGAGGTGGGTGGATCACAAGGTCAGGAGTTTGAGACCAGCCTGGCCAACACAGTGAAACCCCTGAAAACACACTGAAAACACAAAACTTAGTCGGGCGTGGTGGTGCACACCTGTAATCCCAGCTACTCGGAAGGCTAAGGCAGAAGAATCGCTTGAATCCAGGAGGTGGAGGTTGCAGTGAGCTGAGGATATCCCACTGCACTCCAGCCTGGGCAACAGAGCGAGACTCTGTCTCAAGAGAAAAAAAAAAAAAAAGAGTAACATAGGTCAGACTGTCTTACACACCTCCTCCCTACCACACACCATTATAACCATGACATAAAATACCAGGCAATAAAGGTGAAACAGCAGCCCTAGATAAATAAATGAATCAGAAACAGAGAAGAGATGCTTATTTTTTACAAGACAGAACAGTCTTCCACAACATAATTATGCTCCTTTTTTCTCAGTTTGAAAAATCTGTTGGAAAGTCACAACAGGTACAACTAAGAAAGGTCAAAATATATTTGGAACAATAAGCTAAAATTCACTGCTGTTTCCTGAAGCCAATATAAAATAAACAAAGCCACTATTAGAAATGGAGGAAACCACACAATTATTAATATCTTTTAACTGTTTACTCCTCTATTAAACACTTAGAAATGACCAGTAGGATCATTTAAATTAACAGGCGTTCAGTCAGATGGGGTAAGTTAGAATTACAGATTACAAAAAAGACAAATTTTACAAACTTAAAATAAGCTAGCAATTAATAGAAGCCTTTAAAAAAATTTTTAAAAAACCCAGAGGCAAGTAACTAATGATTAGCCTATGACTTATTCATACATAAATGCTGTTACTGAAACCTCGCCGACCACAGGCCTTCCACTTAGGAGAAATATAAATATCCTATTTGAGATCCACTGTGAATTAGCAGTGTCTACTTACAGCTAAACCATCCAGAGAAATCCCTGTGCATGTATCTTCGCATACAAATTTACAGATATTTGTGGGATACATTTTTCAAATCTTTGACAAATTAACAAATGTCAAATGAAATGTGTTAAACTTTTATAAGTGCCAAAATACCCTCTCAAAAATGTTTCATCTCATCAAGAATTTAAAAGCTAGTGTTTCTTCACACTGTGTCACTACATGTTGACATCTGCCAATATGATAGGTTTTAAGGGAGCAATTTTTTAATTTCTTGTTTTTGTTGTAAATAGTGTATTCCTGTTCTTTTAGCCAATTCTATTAACTATCTTTTTCTTCTTGATTTGTAAGTTTTTAAACTTAAAAATCAGTTCTTTGACTTGTCATCTATTTGCAAATACCCAGGATTTTTAAAAAAAAATCTGTTATATCTTTTAAGGTGACATTAAATTGTTTTAATTTTTAAAATATACTATTTTTTTAGAGTAGTTTCAAGATCACGGCAAAACTGAACAGAAGTTTCGTACAAAGAGCTCCACATGACCCCTGCCCTGCTTCCCCAAATTCCCTATCAACATCCGCAAACCACAATGGTCCATTTGTTATAATAATGAACCTACACCACATTATTACCAAAAGTCCATAATTTACATTAGGGCTCACTATGTTATACATTTTCTGGGTTTTGACAAACGTATAATGATGTGTATCCATTTACAGTATCAAACAGAGTAGTTTTACTGCCCTGTAAATGCCCTGTGCTCCACCTAGTCCTCTTTCCCTCCCACAAAGCCTCAGTAACCACTTATCTTTCTACTGTCTCCATAGTTCTGCCTTCTCCAGAATGTCATATATAGTAAGTCTTCATTTAACATCTTCCACAGGTTTTTTGGAACCCGACTTAAGCAAGATAACTACAACAAAACCAAATTTCCCCAATCATCAACATTGTAATGAAATGACATTACTTGAGGACCTATTGTACATTACTTGGATGTATCAGTTTATTTATCTAGTCACCTATTAAAGACATCTTGGTTGCTTCCAAGTTTTGGAAATTATAAATAAAGCTACTATGAACATCCATCTGCAGGTTTTTGTGTAGACCTAAGTTTTCAATTCATTTGGGTAAATACCAAGGAGAAGCAAGACTGCTAAACCATATGGTAAGAATATGGTTAGTTTTGTAAGAAATCACCAAACTATCTTCCAAAGTGGCTATACCATTTTTCATTCTGACCAGCAATAAATGAGTGTGCCTGTTGCTCCCCATCCTCACCACACCAGCACTGATGAACTCCCTCAGCTTTTGTTTGTCTGAGAAATTTTTTATTTCTCCTTCATTCTTGAAGGACAGCTTTACTGATTATAGTATTCTCGGTTGGCAGGGGTACTTTTTTTTTAAACGAGGTCTCACTCTGTCACCCAGGTTGGAGGGCAGTGACACAATCTTGGCTTACTATTACAATCTCCACCTCCTAGTCTCAAGCAATTTTCCCACCTCAGCCTCCTGAGTAGCTGGGACCACAGGTGCGTACCAATACATCCAGCTGATTTCAGTTTTGTTTTTTAATTCTTTCAGCACTTTAAATACACCACTCATCTCTCCTGGCCTGCAAACTTTTCTGCTGAAAAATCTGACTGACTAATGAAGACTCCCTTGTTACGTGGCACACTGCTTTTTCTCTTGCTGCTTTTATTCACAATAGCAAAGATACAGAAAACAACCCAAGTGTCCCATCAACAGATGAACGAATAAACAAATGGTGGGTTACACACACAATTGAATGTTATTCTGCCTTAAAAAGGGAGATCCTACCACTTCTGGCATGGATGAATCTGGAAGACACCATGCTAAGGGAAATGAGGTAGACACAGAATAAGAAACATGACATAATATCATATGTGGGTTTTTTTTTTTAAGCCAAATACATAGAAAAATAATAAAATAGTGATTACAGGTTAGGGGAAAACTGGGGGATTATAGGTCAAAGGGTATAAAGTTGCAGATACGTAAGATATGCCCAGAGATTTAATGTACAACCTGAGGACTACAGTTACAATATTGTGTTGTATACTGGAAATTTACTGAGTCGATATTAGGTACTCTTATCACACACATAAAAAGGTAACTATGTGAGATGATGGATTTAGTTGACTACAATAACCACTTCACGACATACACCAAATATCACGTTATATACCTTAAACATACACGATAAAAATGTACGTTTTAAAAAGTCTAATTTACTGAATACAGACCACAAGTGTTCACAAACCTTCCAGAAAACTGGGAATCATCCTGGGTTGCTTCTTCAACCTTATCCCAAATATGATCACT